TCCTTTTGGGTAAATCTGGCACTTTGGAAAGTCATAAATCACAAATGTCCTTTGATCCTTGTTATCAAGAGTCTACAAATCACTCAGTCCACAAACATGAACAATGGTTGATGCAAACTTCCAAAATGAAACAGATCCTAACTCTAATTAATTTAGCATGAGTTGCTCATGGATTTCTGAATTCCAGTGTTAAGGACTTCAAGCTCTCTTTAACAATGAAGCCACCTGGCTTTATGCTAGCATGAGTAGATAAGCCCAAGCCAAGGGAAAAGCATGAGTACTTGCATAAACTTTCATGAAATTGTTTTTATTTAAGCCAGCTTACAAATACAGGGTTGGCTAGCAAGATTTACCATAGTTTGAACATTAAGCAGAAAACTGTTCACACAGAAAATTGTCAGGGGAACTTTATCAAATTAATGGCCAGGACGTAGGCATTCAGATTTGGCAGCCATGTAATCAGCAAATGACTGTACCTGGCTGACATGTTTGGCTCAGAAGTTAAACAGGGCCTGGTTAGCACTTGGATGGAAGACTACCAGGAAATATAGGGCAGTAGGCTAAAGTAGGAATCTAAAAAGCATCATGGAAGAAGGCATGATAAACTAATTCAGTACAGAATTACAGAGACATGTCTATATAGTACTAAAGTCATAGCTGATACAGCATCTAGTCAACTTTGGCCTTGTGAAAAAAGCTACAGATGGTTAGACTTCATTAATACATGAATAGAAGACTACTGGGAAATCCTAGGATGTAGGATAGACTGGATGATAAAAAACATCTTGGAAGAAGGCAATGACAACGTATTTATCTACTGTTACCAATAAAACTGCATGAATGTGTCTAGGAAATCAGCAAGGGGTTGAGTTCAGCTTGAAGGAAACCTAGAGCCCTTCAACTGTTTTGAATGTAACTCCCCAAAGACAAACCAGCATAGCTGTTATTCACACATAATGAAAACTATAGTCCAACCATATCTGGAAGACACCAGTTCTAGAAAAACTGCTCTTGAACCAGGATACACTGTGATCTAAGTATACCAGGAGCATCTGGTACACTTTCAGATGGTTCCTGAAACCATGATGTATATTACAGAGAAAAATATGAATAATCCAGATCATCACATTCTGTTCTGAATTCAAAATCAAAGCCTTACTGCTGTATTCAAGCAATGGAATGTAGCTTGAACAAGCTACAAAAACATCAGCACTGAATGTCTCTGCTCAGACACAGCTATAGACTTTCTACATTAATCCTGCCTGCAAAAGTACAAGGCTTCAGCCTGCTCTGTGACTGCAAAAATAACGCTTCCTCAAAATATAAAATAAACACAATTTTGTACAAGTTAGCTCATCAGGAAAAATGTATAGGAAACAAACCAATCCCCTACATCATATGCTCATTTTTCACTTTCTAAACTACCTTTTAGCATAAGGCACAGAATAAAAGTGCCATATATTTTCCATTTCTCTTTCAGTTCGTGAATGTGCACATCAAAAGGCCTCTGGGAATAACCCCAGTATTCAGGGGTTTACAAATTTGGGGTGGTTGTGGTCAACCAAACCTCACTGGCACCACAAAGTCAAAGACTGTCATTCCTCTCTAGTTCAAACTTGTTGAGAATGTGCACCTTCTCTGTCCCTGCTGAAAGAGTAATGTTGTAACACCTGCCTCTAATCTCCGTTTCCTGTTGAGAGTATCAAGGGACGGTGAAGGCATGATTGCTCCCTTGACCTCCGCCATTCAGCAAAAGCTCCATCTACACCTCAGATATAAGCTTTTTGCCTCTACCTTCCCTCCTTTGTTCATTCAAAAGATAATAGAAGCATGCAGGCTCTCATTGTCTTATTGCCTGAAAGGAGGCGGAAGCCCCAGGTCTGCCAGAATGAACAAAAAAAGGGTCCCTGCTATCCCTTCCTGCCCAAAGATGAAGACAGAAGCCTGTAGCCCATCTTCTGGTCAAGTTCTTGTTACTCTAGCTTGCAGCAAAGAAGATGGAAGAATGCTATTGGTTTCTCCCTCTAACTTGGAGCTAGAAGGCTAGACTGAACATTATGCAAGTTGTCAATACTGTTTCCATCTCCCCTGCACTATAGATCAAGTCCAATTCTATCAACCCTCCTGAGCTGTGGCACAAACTGTGATGATACCAAAATGATTACATGAGTGCAATGATGTCATCATGCAAATGCCACCATTGGTACTGCTATCAGATGCCTGACATAAGTTGTGGCGTTTATATAATGGTATCATGAAGCATATGTTGTCATTCCACACACATACCCAGCATCCTCCTGGTGGATGTCCATGTTTCTGAGCAGGTTTGGGATACTTCCAAATGACAGCTTTGAATTCTGGTCATTACTTCTAGCTAAATGCTTCTATCATACTTAAAAATGTAATTTTATTTAACACTAGATTATAGTAGTCTCACTTCTCTATTTGTACCAATGGCAGTACCCTAACCCTAATTTCTACCAACTGATAAAAACTGCATGATGAAAGCAATCCATACTAATTCATATTATCAGTGTTGTTCATGTTTTAGCTACTGTCAAAACTCAAACTTACTTATCTTTAAAAAATACGTGTTAACGTTATTATGGATACATATCTGGACAGAAAATAAAATATTAGTATCCAAAACTACACATGCATGTTTTATGAATCTTTTTCAAATGTAATCTAATCAGGATTACTTTAGGAGGGGAAATGTCTGTCTTCCTACTTATAGGCAAAAATATTTAAAATGTAAATGAACAGGTAGAGATTATGTACTTTTGCATTTCGTTCTTCCAATCTCCTTTCCCTCACTGCAAGCTACCTGCCCAACCACCTGAACTAAATCTCTTTATATGCTAAAAAATATAGCATTAAGATGCAATGGCAGGTTTCTTCAAACTGTCTACTCACAAACATTTGTTTAGATTTATAATCTCTTAACCTAATCCTGTTCTATAGCAAAACCAATTCTCCATATATTAGACTAACACTTCTAAGAACATCACAGCTACATCTGTAGTCTTCATATGTAAATAATAAGCAAAAAATCCAAGGGGACTCTTTCTGGATCTGCAAAGGAGGAAAATCTAACACTACATTGGTTTGCTAAGATTCAATCAATTAAGTTAAATAGCACAGAATTACATGTAATCTTATATATCACTATATTACTCTGGAGGTTATGATGTCTGCTTGCTGCTCTTTTATACCATTCACTTAATAGAAATGAACAAATGAATACAGATTTTGTCTTATAAACAGACTCTAATAGGGAGTCCCTTATTCAGTGGGCAGAAATTTTTATCTCTGCTTCTACTTAGAATTTTCTGATGTGCATAATTGATTACACCTAGCCAAAAACTACCTTACAACATTGCACATAACCAAAGGGAAAATTAGCTAATCTAACCTGCAATTTGAATGAAGGCTGCACTAAATTATGTTCAAACAAAACCAGTCCAGCAGAAGCCATACTGAATGTTATTGTGGGGGAGGGGAGCTGTAACATCTCAGATTGTAATTCACTGTACACGTTACCAACAACTGATGTAGAGAAGTGCATAACTTACAATCTGAAATGGTAGAGCACAGCAAGAGATACTTTATGTGTAGCTTTTGCTAGTCTGTTCTGGTCAAGAGAACAGTAAATACTTGTGTAGTCTGTCATCAAATAAATAACAATTTCAAAAGTAACCTGCAGGATTAACTATTGTTTAAGATAAATGTGATGGCCAGAGCAATTCAAATTTGGTCACTGATGTTGTGATCCACCACACACAGCTGTGACAACTTTCAAATGCTTTGGGCGGAACCTTCAAGAGATCCGAATTAAAACAGAGATTGGAGGGCTACAATGTCTGTAATACTCAACCCAAGCACAAATGTAAACCCCTATGTACTGTGCAAAGACAGAATCCATCAAACGTGGTAGAAAGAACACCTGAGGGGTCAAGTTATGAACTCAGCATTGTAGTCTTCCAAGTCTACCTACACAGCACAGAAACAGATTTACTTGGAACACTGATTTTAATTACAAAACTCATTTCCTTTTGTGCAAAGAAATAAATGTGTGTTCACCCATAAAAGATTAGCAAACCAAAAGATTTTTAAACAGTATTTTATTTTAAGGTTGCTATAAATGCAATTATTTTGAATACCATATGCCGAGTAGTTTGATACATATTCCTGATCATGCTATTTCAGCTAGAGGAATAATGTAGGCCTTAACAGACTTTTTTTTTTTTTAAATAACACACCTTCTGGTATTTTATAATGAGAGCAGCCAAAATATTTTTCTTCTCAGTCAATTTAGATGCAGCAGGGGGAAAAAAACAGTATTAGTAATTGTGCAACCCACACAGCAGAACTTATATCTCACTTTCTTTTGAAACTGTGGGATAGCATGGGGGATACTAATTTGCAATCTATGTGCAAAATATTCCTTACACAGGCTCTGAAATAACTGACTTGCCTATTTATAAAACTTGCAGCAAGGCTGAACCAGCTTATCATGCATTGAAACAGAGCTAGAAAGTGCAGCATTAACAAGGGAGGAGGGGGTTATTGTAGAAGCAGTAAGATGCCTCATGAAATTTCAGATGCAGAGAGAGAAACAGCTGCAGCACTTTAAAACAACAGTCCATTTAGAATTAAATAGCAGCAAAGTAGACTGTTTTAAAGATTACCACCTAAGGTGCACTGATGCCTACTGGCAGGAGGAAGGTAGAGTACAGGGAATGGACAACTCAACGTTATCAGGATTTGTCTGTTTTGTTTTTTTTTTAAGGTGAGCTATTGTGCAAATAAGAGCACTGAGAAACCTTCCTTACCCACCTTGAAAATATTTCATGTTTTAAATACATTGCAACCCTTGTATTTACACAGAACTCTGGTTTTCCTAGGTTTTTTTTTTTTTTTGCTCCTCTAAATTTAGCATGACAGCTGAGAAATGATGGCAGAAGCTTTGCCAGTTCAGTTTAAAAAACATCCTCTACCTGGTATCTCTGCAGTGATTGTCTTGCTGCTCCCTGAAACTTCATCATCATCATCCGATGAACTCGTGCTTGAGTCACAGGTTAGGTCACTATCACTGGTACTGCTGTCCTGCAGCAGGTTATATTTCTTGCGGGCAGCAGCCTCCCGTTTCTGCCTCAGTAACCGAATTCTCTCTTTGTGCTTTTGACTCCGATGACCTTTAACCTTGGCAACACGGCCATTCTGCTTATCACTAGATTGCCGGTTTTTCTTTGCAGCCATTGTCGAGGTTTCGCTTTCTGACCTGGACCGCCTGGATTTCCTCCCAACGGTAGACCCTGATACTGTGGAAGGGTCTCCCTCTGCAGTGGTTTCAGCTTGGCCAGGAGCATTCTCTTCTGCAGAAGACAGCGTGTCTGAATCAGCCAAATGGCCACTGGAAGAAGGGGACAGCATGCAATGGTTGGAAGAGTCACTCTCATAAACACGGCCGGCTGTTGGCTTATCACTTTCTGTTGATGCTAGCTGAGATTCTGAGGAGTCCCGTCTCAGTTCCATCAGCAAGCACGGCATTGAAGCAAGCACTGCTGAATCCTCCCCAAGAGCTCTGTTCTCTTTTTGAGCAGGCATATCCAGTTCTATAGATCCCTCTTCACCCAGAGCTGGCTCCTGTTTTTCTGACAGCTTTGGTGGGACTTCTGGGTCAATGAGTTCTTCTGTTCTGTCTGCTGCCTCCATCTTCATTTCAGAATTTTAAGTCTCTCCTGGTCTCAGAGTATAGACCCAGAGCCTTGTGGAAGTGCAGGCTAATCTAGGGTTTCAACAGGAAAGCAACCTGCAGGAAAACACATACAGCACATGACTGAGCTGGTAGTGAGAACATATTCATATTCATATAATGTTTCATGAAGAATTTAATAAAGCACAAAAAATACTGATTATGCAACAGAACAGGATAAATCTACAAGGCCCTATAACTTCAATACTGACCCCTCCCCACCTACCTCCACTTCTACAATGGGTGAAGTTGTGCTTAAAAGTCAAGAAATGTATTGCTTTTGTATTTCCATCAGATGATTCTGTTTCACATTCAGGGGTAACCATAAAAAAAGTTATAGTGTTAAGCTAAAGAGTCAGATATTCCATTCAGTTCCCCTGGGAGCTAACCAGATAACCTTTGGAAACCTACAAGCAGCCTAATAGAACAAACAGATTCTCCCTCATGGATTATAATGGCTCATGATTTTGTCAAATGCTCCTTTGAAGAAATTCTAATTTACCAGTTATCCCTATTTTCATAGCCTCCAGTTTTGGCAATTTGTGAGCAGAAATTAATTTTAGCCCGGATTCTCTTGCTGGGGTCATTTGGGAAGCAGGACAGGGGAGGGGGGCCCTTGGTCTTTCAGGCACCCAGGAGAAAGAAAAATGAACAATGGTAGTTACGACCTTCTGTTACATAATTTGGACCGATACACACCTCCCATCTGATATTAAACACTGGAGGAAATTGATCCAAATACTTTTCTTTTTAGATCATGACACAATGAATCAATGAATGCCTCATCTCCCCCCCCCATTCAATCTGTCACTAACAAAGCAATTCTGTTCTATATCTGTTGAAAATGCATCAATAGAATGGTTCAAAACTACACAGAGGCCTCAAAATCCATCTCAGTATTTGGCATGCACTTTTCAAAGCCTAAAGTATAATTAATTAATGCAATAAAATTCACACATCTGTCTACAATAATACTGTAGATGGGCATGAAAATTGTGAATGCCATCACAGTTAAAATGGATATAAGATAGCATGTTTTTTATAAAGTGGTTGCCTGCAACACAGATAAGCTTGCTGCTCTTTTAAAAAATTTGCTATGATTTTAGTATTTTTACAATTATTTTTAACATGCATTTCTGCCTTCTTCTATTCTATTTCTATTTATAAATTTTGTTACCTGCCTTGATTGTGCAGCAGAACAGAATAGTACAGTATGCGAGGTAATACTAGAGAGCATAGGTTGTGCTGTTTTCAACACAGTACTTTCAACATTTTCAACACAATACTTTCTCCTATTGGCTGGTAGCTATCAGGTGCATGCAAAGATGTAGTGTGGGTGTGTGTGTGTGGGTGTGTGTGTGTGAGAGAGAGAGAGAGAGAGAGAGAGAGAGAGAGAGAGAGAGAGAGAGAACACTATAGTTAATATTATGTTATAGTATTACATAAACATTACTAATGTTATTGTGGTTTTTAGATTTATTTTTATTTTAAATATTTGCAGGTTGTAAGTTACCAATGTAAAAACTATTGGTTTGTTGAGCTTCATTCTTGCTCTTATTCATATATATATAGCTGATGCTGAGCTACCAGGGTACATTCAAAAAATGTGAACACTATCTTGTTTTGTTGTGTGGCAAAAGAAGTGACATTATGGGATTAGTTTTTGTTTCTGCTGTTGGCAATGCTATTTTATATAATTTTTTAGGCATGCCATGTTCAGACATAGTTGCTGCTTGCTAGGCTAATTTGTACTCATTAGATACGATAGACAGAAAAATTGTGTTGTTTCTACTATTAGTATTGTTTTAATGTTTTTTAAAAAATTAAATATGGTCTTCTTGGTTAATTTTATATAGATGGGTAGTGGGTAGCAGCCAGCATAGACTAAAACCTCTTCTACTTTTATAGGGAGTAATGAAGCAAACATGGATTCAAACTGTTGCCTATGATCAAACCTTTTAGAACATGTTTTGTCAGATGTAACATCCTGTTTTTTTCTGCTGGGACCCAAACAATCAACATAACATTTAATTTGGAGTTGTTTTGTATGGAGCTCAAAACAATACCCTTTTCTATTTTGTGAGCATTCTAGTTTTTCTTAATATAGATGTTAGCTTGGGTAGCAGGGTTGAAAACCAGTGTTCATTTTTGTCTGTGTGCCCCAGAAATATGTAACAGTGTAAAATCAAGAGAAGAATTAGAAAAAGCAGCTGAAGGCATGTGCTTTGCTTTCTATTCATCCACTTAAAAGAAAATATTAGTTGGGGTAGCAGAGAATGATTTTGGGAGGGCGTTCTGTATTTTCTTTGGACAGTTGTATAGGCATGTCTCATTTAGTCCATGTATATGTGGAGTCCTTGGGGTTCTCTGAGCTTGGTTGTTTTCTTGCAAACATTTCGTTACCCAGCTAGGTAACATCTTCAATGCTAGAATGGAGTGGGGTTTGCTCTCTATTTATATGCGGTAGCTTGCCCTGCCAGTGTTGGTGGGGGTTGTTTTTTTTCCCCTTTGGTAGTTCCTTGATTAGGGTATTGTTTACTGCTTGATTGTTTGTCTGGTGTTAATCTTGGTGTTAATCTCTGCTCATCTGGGTGATGACTGCTGGTGAGGAGATGTTCTGGTCTTTTGCTTTCCTTTTTATTGTCTCTTTTGAACAGTGTGTAGATGTTGTTCATCTCTATGTGCCTGTTGATGGCTGACTTGTCTGAATACCAAGCTTCCAGGAATTCCTTAATATGGATGGCTATATAAGGCTTCTAAAACAAACAAACAAACAAACAAATTCTGCCTTGTATCCAGCTTTCAGAGAATCATTTACTTAATCTCTTGTGAATGAGCAGGCCCACATGGCTGCTACTTGTGACTATACATTCTCATACCATGGCAACAACTACAAGTTTCTCAAATTTCCAAATAAAATGTTAAGCCTAAAAATCCAGGAATCTTTGCCTTACATGAAGCTAATACATCACTGTACCCAAATTTAAAGGCTTGCTTGAGACCCAAGACTGGCGACCTCAGGTAATTTGTCTAAAGGAAACATATATTGGAAAACCTAAAGATAACAACTGCACATTATAGTACTATATTATTCTAAAGCAGTTTGTACTTTTTAATATTTATATAAAATAGAGACTCCAGAGTCTTTTTGAGTAGGCCACTATAACAAATCTAATGAATAATAATAATAAACATCTTTTAATCCCAAATAGAAATATCTACAGAATAAAAATAATCATTCACTTAACACACAGCGACAATGTAAATATCTGCAGAGGGGATTTACTTAAGCCTTCCAATTCATAAAGTTTTTTTTTTATTACCAGCATATTACCAGCATACTGCTGATTAACTATGCAAGAGAGCTGACTCAGTAGTTACTTAGAAGCGTGTGTGGTTCTCAAAGTACATTGCAACATTACTTCATGCAATGTCCAGTCTCTTCTTTAAGATGCCACTCACATATTCTGACCTAGTTTGATGCAGATGAACCTGTAAGATCCACCAGAGGAATTAGTGCAAGACCAAAAAACTAATCAAGGAAGTATGTTTCAGTCCTAAGACGTTTTACTTTCATTTTTTTTACTTCAAGCTCTGGTTAATAGAGAACATTTTATTTAACGATAGACAGAGGCAACATTCAAACTCTTCTCATGTCGTAGTGAGAACGAATCCTCTGATCTTCATTTACACAGACATGATAGAAGCATGGATATTCACTTTCTTTCTCTTCAGTTCAACTTGTTGCTGCCTAAGCAATTTCTGGACTATATGATTGCTGTACTAATCACAACAAACAACTTATTTAGGAACGTTATCTTCCCTGACAAATACACTCCAAGTTTCAGACAGAGTTGTTTTCCATTTCTACCTCAAAATGCCAGGATTTGAGCCTGGGAATATTTGCCTACCAATTTGCCCAAAACAAAAAGGGGACATAAAGAGATAAAGTGGTTGTAGTTGAAGACCCTGCTCTATATTCAGAGAAGTCTTCTGAAGCACCTTCAAAAGAGGAAAGAGCTGTAAAAGTCAGAGTTCAGTTATACAAGGCAAGTGGAACAGAAGAATTAAAGTTAATAATAAAGCTATAACTGTAACTTGATTTGAATTAGTAAATAGTCCCAAAAATTAACTTCAGGTACCAGGTCATGGTGGTCATGTAGTCAAAATGGAGCTACAGAAAAACAATGGAGAGATATTTTTAATATCAGGGAACCCAAGATTTGAAAAAAGAACAATCTTATGATGGCATCACGAGCAAAGGAGCCCAACGAGAATGCTCCATGGATGCACAAAAAAGCCACAGATGAAATTGAATATTTGGATTTCTCAGCGGCTTTTGATACTATCGACCACAATATGTTACTGGACTAGCTCTGGGAATTGGGAATGGGGGGCACAAGTTTTGCAGTGGTTCTCCTCCTTTCTCTGTGACTGGTACCAGTCAGTATTATCCAGGGTACCAAACTATTATGTGGGGTGCCCCAGGATTTGAGTCTCTCTCCCCTCCTATTTAACATCTATATGAAGCCGCCAGGAGAGGTCATCCATCGGCATAGGGTTTGGAATCATCAGTATGCTGATGATACCCAATTATACATCTCTACCCCATGCCAGGCAAGTGATGTTGTTCAGGTGCTGGCTCAGTGCCTGAAGGCTGTAAGGGCCTGGATAGGGAGAAACTGGCTGTGACTCAACCCTAGCAAGATAAAGTGGTTGTATTTTAGGACCCCAGAGTTAGGAAAGTTGATATCTCTGACTCTGGACAGGGTAACACTCCGCCATACAGATTTGGTGCACAATTTGGGGGTCCTCTTGGACTCATGGATCCTGCTGGATCCGCAGGTGGCAGCCATGGGCAGGGGGAGGGGGGTGTCTTTGCACAAATCTGTCTTGTGAGCCAACTGTGCCTATTCTTTATATGACAATTGCAATCATTTCCAAGCAACGTATCCAGAAATGATTGTATGATATCACATGCAAAAAATTTAATGAGAAGAAATGTGTACACATCTGGCAACTAAATTAACAATTACATACTCCGTGGGCCTGACTAGGCTTTTCCTCTACTTGCCAAAAGCTAGAACAATTCTGTTCTTCCAGTTAACTACCCAACCATCAAAAATATTCAGTAATAAAAAAACATTTTGGCTAATCATGCTAATCAAGATTCCTTGGTGACATTTATGAGGCTCAACAAATAGCATTCTCTGTATGGCAGCAGGGATGGGCAATCTGCAGCTTTCAGTCTAATTTCAAAGCTCTCTGTAACAGATACTGGTAAGGAGTAATATATCTCTTTACTATACTCTTCAGTCCTCACTGCTTGGCAAAAAGAAGGAAAAGGATATGCTGGAGAGACACTAGTTGTTCTCATCCACTAAGGATTCTCTCCTCATTTCTGCCTCTTACCTCTTCAGCCTCACTGACCACGTGGCCTCCATTAGATTAAGCCTAAGGAAATGCAGCCCTCAACAGTAATGTTCTCCTTTCTGGTATACCACGAAAGTCCTCTTCTTCTAATCTTGAGCATATAGGTTCATGAAATAAATTTACATGTGTCACTCATCCCTCCTACTTACTTGCTGAATTTTATTCTGTTTAATAATGCTTAAATCTCTTCTTTTATGTCGTTTCCACCCAGTTCTTTCCCCACACTTTTCCTTACCAGGAAAAGGTAGTTGCTACTTCCTATACCCCATCATTATCCTGTTTATTTCTTTCTGTTTTGTTTTGTTTGAGAGGAGTATGTATATACGTATTTTGTGTTTCTCTATGTGAGAGGGAATGACTGATGCATGCAGATGGGGAACAGATTAATGAGTTGAATTAATAACTAATATTGGTTATTGGTTAATTACTTAATTAGTGATATCTGGCAGATGCACATACATATATGCACACACAAATTACAAATTAATTGTGAACCAATAAACACATTTGCAAGTAAAATTTTGCATGTATTTAAATATATATTGTTGAATTAATTCCTTACCTTTCAACCTCTGCTGTCACTGCTGTACCTGCTCTGTAGACAGAAGATCTGAGTATCCAAAGTTGTCATTCTGGCTGTCTCCCATCAAATACTCTAAAAAAAAACAAACAAATTAACTTACAAAAATGTTTTAAAAATAAATACAAAAGCAAGACTTAGCTAATGCTTATGAGTGCTGTTAATGTCTCTCCTATTTTACATAAAGAAAATAAAATTTGCAATATATATATATATATAATTGACATAAATACACGTCCATGAACAGATTAAATTGTTCTAAATGTTCTGGCCTTTGTACTGTTTGCATGCAGAACTCAGCACAAATGAATTTCTCTCCCTTGTAAGTCAGCTCTGTACTGTATACTTTTTTGCTCAAAGTTAAATAACACTGTTATAAGGTAGGAATAAACAGTGTTGCAACCTAGGAAAGATTTCATGCATTTCAATCCAATTCCCCATCACATGAAGCAGGCATGCAGATTACCTGTTGTTGTTTTTTTTAGTAATGAAAGCAAAAGCAAAAACCTCCCCAATAGTAAATACTGTGCTTCACAAACAGAAAGAGCTCTGTGTAATGCTTATCTACCTTCTGGCCATTATACAATTAGATATCTGAAAGGCTTCTTTTTTTAAAGATGTTTTAAATAGTAATTTTATTAAAAATTACAATTACAACAATAAAAATTAATACAAACTAAAAAAGAATAAAAAGTAAAAGGTGCAGAAAAGAAAAAAGAGAAACAAATAGAGAAATAGAAAACAAAAAATAAAATATAGTAAAGAAAAGAAATGTATAAAGAAATGACTTTTCCCTTCATCACAAAAGTATAAACAATTTTATACTTCATCTTCTCTTAGAATACAACAAATGATCTCATATTTCCCATATCCTTAAAACCTCGTCATTTCAGTCCTGAGCAGCAAAAGTCCATTAAAGGTTACCAGAAATACCATCATATGTGTTTTAACCTTGATCAAATAAACCAACTTTATATTCCTTCCTTTTACTTTTAACAATCTTGATCTTTAGTTCCTTCAAATAATGTTATAGAACTTGATCCCCCCCCCCATTTTTCTTTGTCCCTTCTCACAACATTTTTCAAAGCTTAAACAAGCCTCTTTTGTGAATCCAATATAGGAAAATCATCGAGGTCACTCTCTTGGTTTGTTATTTGTATATCCCTTTTAATTATTAAGACATCAGCCGGTTTCATCTGTATGTCCAGTGTAACATCTTTTTTCATATTATTCTTGTAGCCTCTCATTTTAAAATCCACTTTCAAATCAGTCTAGATCTTGTCAGGTAGAACATGTTCCTCTTCCATAACAACTTTTAAACACAGTCCATCTATAAAGGCAGACACTATTAAAATTAACTTCTGGATCCACTGTTCAAAAATATTGTTCAATGTGTCCAATGTTAAAACATTTTGCTTCATTCTGTAATTATAAGTTGAGTTTGAGTGTTCTCCTTTAATTATAATCTTTAGTTCCCTCTCATTCCCAATTTTTAAAGTCTTATCTTACTATGTTTTTTTACAAACAAAACATTTTTCCATTGGAAAGATTCTTTATAATTAATTCCAAAATCTTATTTCAAATTCATCTGGATCATTAGTCCATTTGTAACTTTTTAAAATCAAAGTTTTAATCACCCTTTTGCTGTCCCCCCCCCTTTTTAAATTTCTTAACTTGTAGTTAAGACTTCTTTCGCTAAGGATAGAAGGAAACTCATCCAGTGCAGTAAAACCTGTCGATCCAAAAGTTCCTAATAGCTGAAAACCTGTTAACAAGCAATTTCCAAAAGTGATTAGAAAAGGAAGTATGTGAACACAGTGTCCTTTCAAAGGCGCCAACTGCAGTTTGGGCAAGATGGCTATTCCCTTGTTTCCCAGAGCTCTAAACCCACTGGAAACTACTGTCTTGTGGTCTCCTTGTGAGGAGCAGCTGTCTGGAGCACTAGTGGGTGATCTCAAGTCCTCTCCTTGTCCAGAGAGGAATTACTGAAGAAACGGTCTACTTGCCAGCTCTTCATTCTATCACACTTGTCAGCTCCACTTTTCACAGAGCAGTCTTCAGTCCACCATTTCTTCCCTGGACGCGGAAGATATCCAAAACGCTTCTGAACTAAAAGTTAACAATTGTATCTATCAACTGCATTAAATGAAGCTAAGTACAGTGGTACCTCGGGATACGAACGCCTCTGCTTGCGAATTTTTCGGGTTACGACCAGCTCTGGCCCCAAAAATTTCCCTCGGTTTGCGAACTCCGCCTCGGGGTACGAACCGGATCGGCGGCCATTTCCCACCGTGACACGTGGTCCGTGGCCATTTTCCGCCCGTGCCACGTGGTCCGCGGCCATTTTC